CCGCCAGTTTATTTTTATTTAAACCTAACGAGCTTCCAGTGCTCCCTTTTCAGTTTGGGTCTGAAAGGAGGGTTTSCTTGTTCCTTGGCAGCAATGGATGTCTTTTTGCAGAGTACTTTGTAAAACACAACTGTTCAGATATAACCTATAAGAAGAGGTGAGCTCGCATGCTTGCRAGGATGGTGCATGTAATTTAAGGAGAGTAGTGTACTTGAAAAGGCAGTTTTTAAGCCCTGTATTGAACATGGACTMTGAACTGTAAAGCACTTGTTTATAATTTTGTAAAGTGTCTTTACGGTGAAGGGCAACATAAAGGTTTGTGATTTTCATTGATACTCATCGAATACTTAGAATTCCCCCTAATATGAATGTGTTTTGTGTATATACACGAGGGAAGAGTGTGAGTAGTGGTCAGTGCGGTAGATGCAAGAAGGGGAGTGACTTGTATATGGCTTGTATAGGAAAACTCGAGCCTTGTTTCCTGCTTCTTTYTGCCAGAACATACACTATTTGTCACACTATACTACCCTCTGCTCAGCACACATGGCCTGAGAGTGCTTTGATAAAGTATTTAGCAGTAGTTCTCTGCAGAACAGTTGGAAAGAATGAAGATAGAGCACAGCACATGATTTACATTAGGAGGAAACGCCCCGGGGTGATTGAGGAATGCTRTATTTACAGGGACTTTTATGGGTTAAAAATCACGTTCTACTTCTCTTCTCATAAGAGTGGGATTAAGCTTTGTAGCAGAGGGCTTTGGTTTGAGACTTCCATTTAGCTTCCCTGTTGGAAGCTCACGAGCAGGTTGGAACAAGCATCAGCTATGAAAGTTATGTTCAACTCAAATAGTTGCTTTAAAGTCAATGAGTTTCATGAGTTTTCCTCAAAAAAAAAAAAAAAAAAAAAAAAGGAAACCATGCTGGAATTCTAGTTAGAAGCTTTCCATTTTTTTTTTTTTTTTTCAGATATTTCTGCTCCATTAGTAAATGAGATATTAGATATATGGGGTTGGTGAAGAAACCCATGAGATATTAGTGAAGAAATTTAGAAACTTGAGACCAATTTTACATGTAATTTTGTAATACATAAGAATGGCCCTTCTGGCTCATACCAAAAATCCATCTGGCCCTGAATCTGCCTCAATCTTAGCTGGCAGAGGAGATGCTGTGACTGGAAAAGGGGTTTTCCTGTAATAAAAAATCCTGCCTTTTGCTTTGGAGGAGCTGACCCTTCACTTTCCCCGAGCCTGGGCAATCACAGAGCTGCAAGACCACGTCTCTTAGGAGCAGTGGGAGAATTTTCCCTTTTAGTTGCCTTTACATTTGCTCGGAAGCTGTAATAATCCTTTCTCAGTAAACTGCAGAGAGGACAGGCAGTTGTCGTCACTGCAGTAGGCTGGTTTGCAACTCGCTCCCTGGGGCGAGAGAGGAAATATTTGATTTACAGCCGCCTTTTTCTTATGAATGACTGTACTGGTTGTAAATGGTCTGCTAATAAGGGTGGCCGTGTGTCTGCCTGACCCACATGTTCTGCAGAGCAGCTGATGGACGTGTTTTGATGGGGCCTGGCTGCACTCATTTGCCTGCTGAACTGCAGTGCCTGAAGTTCTCAAATTCAATCATTGCTGCTGTCACATTGATTAATTTTGATGTAATTCCCCTGCCAGTGGCATAGCAGCAGCAGTGAAGGGCTGGGCAGGTGTAATGCAAGCTTCAGTTCGCTTCACAGTTTCTAGCATCTCCTCATAAATCATGGGAGGCGCAGAAGGATTGCCTCTTCTCTCTTTTGCTCTWTCATCCAGATACAAAATCAAAGGCGAAAGTGCCCAAGGTGCCCCTTGGCTACATCTATAAAACACGTCTGGTCAGARCAAGGGAAGATATTTCTCAGAAGAACAGCGTGCCAAAATCAAAATGCTGAAATATCTAAAGGAAAGAGAAGGGTTTCTGTTCAGAGATACTGCCAAGCACTCAACTTCAGTGTTTAATTAATGGRTTACCTTGATGACAGCCATTCATATTTGAGCGCAGGTTCCCAGGACACGTTGCTGGTGTGTGATGATGAAGAGGGAAAACTTTTGCAGCCATCAGTGCACCCGGTGCAGCAGCCTGGACCACAGCATGTACCTTGATTCAGCAAAGCCTAGGCATGAATTAATAACTTCTTTCACAGAAAAAACACGTGCAATTAGCTGTTCACAAAGATGAATGAGGATGGGCAGCTTTCAGGATGCAGCTTTACTTCCTCTTATAAGTAATGGCTTCTGGATGAGAAACGGATTGATGGATGACCAGATCATATCTTTCCTGCATGGAGTAATCAGGATTTCTTTAGAAGCCACTTTTGCAAAAGGAATAAATGAGGTTCAAACTGCAGGAGTACAGTAAAACTTGCTAATAGCTCATCATAAACTATTAGCTTATCCTAAGCTATGGAAAGGCCAATGTCCTACAGAGCACAAGAGGGTGCTATGCGCTCAGCAGATAGCAGACTCACCCCTTCATATAGCAGCACAGGTTATTCTATCTTAGTGATGCAAATAAAAGATTAATCAAGTAAAGCTTTAGGAGCATTCTAGATAGCAAGCTTTGCTGAATCTCCCTTCTATTATTGCTTGAAATGTATGGGAAAGGAATGATGCTACAGAAAGATTAAAGAGGGTTTCTATTCTATGAGGGAAAGAGATGAGGGAAAGAATAAGCAATAGCCAAAGAATGAATAGAGCAAGAGAAAGAGAAGAGAAAACTGGAACTGGAAATGTTCTGTGGAGAAAGAGAGGTCATGCAGAAGCTGTCCGAAATGAAAGGCAGCACAGGAGAGGTGGCAGGCGGTGGCAGGCAGCCTACGAGGGCAGGTGCTGGGATAGCTGGAGATCAGCACTGTTRCACACCAGGAAACACTGTTCTTCATCTGGATGCTCTGGGAGCAGAGCCAATATTTGACAAACGCACAGGTTGGCTAGGCCAAATGAGGCAGAGCTTGGTAGGAAGCCCTGTTCTCCTGCCAATCCTCCATATTCATCCATGTCTTAGGAAATCTCCCCAGATTCGGTGGAGAAATTGCAAATTGTATTTGTGGGTGTGCAAAATAAGATGTGTTGTTATYAATCTTTCCACTACAGGGTATTGAAAATACCCAAGCAGCTGAACAATAGGAAGGTTGATTCTGTCCTTCACAGAGGAACAAGGGCTGGAATTTAGGAAAGCCAAGTCCCATTCCTGCAATGAGCTTGGATCTCTCAGAAATCATGGTTTATTCACTGTAGTCTCCCGTCTGTGAAATAGGCATGATAACACCAAGGCAGCTTTAAACAGAAGATTTTAGACTCGGATTCTTTACAGTTTCTAGCAAAAAGCGGGTCTGCATTGGAGGAGCCCCAGGGACCTCCAGTCCAGTAGGTCACCCAGTGCTCAGTGTGACCCACTCACCTTGTACAGCCCAGTGGCAACTCTTATCTTGGCCGTGGCAGCATCTGTGATGATCCCTCTTTGTACCTGCCCTGGCTGCCTTCCCCAAGGGTCTTTTCCAGCTAGATTTCCCCTCTTGCCCTGCTCTGGGCTGGTATCTGCAGCTTCTGTTGTGCACTGCAGTTATCAAAGCACTGGGGCTAGTGAGAAAGTCTGCAGATGGAGAAAAATCTCCTGCAGCCCCAGGAAGGGGGGTTTCCTGGGTTCATAGCCCTGCAAAACACAACCCAAGAGAAAATTCTTCTGCAGTGTGATGCAGGTGGAATGAGAGAATGGACRTTACGGCAGCATTTCCCTCTCTCATGTGTTGTGATGCCCATGAGCAGAACAACCCAGCAGGATCTGGCACGGCCTCAGGTAGCAGAGTGCACAGCACAGTCCTGCTTCCAAAAAGGTCGAAAAAGGTCCTTAGGGAACAGAAAGAGGGGGAGGCAGAGCGGGATGTCCTGTTTCAATATCACATCCCTACTGAATGWGGGAAGAGAGGAAGGAAAATTTCATACCCTGTCCTAGCTAAAAGATACTCTCAGTTACAAAATATGTCCCTATATCAAGATTAATGGCCTCKCTAACTTAAGAATGAGCTTTCCAAAGGTGTTCGAGTTTCTTGGCTCTAATTCTCAGGAACTGGGTGCCCAAATACTCTTTGTTTTCTTCAGGAAATCTTCTATCACCATCCTCGCGTGACCCAAGCACCGGAATCCCATTCCCGTCCCTTGCCGAGATGCGCACGAGGCAGGGGAAGGGAGCTGAAAGTTTAGCTTGCAGCTGGCAAAGGACATTGCTTTCTGCATGTGCAGTTGGGCATGTGTCCTGAACACAAGGTGCGAAATCATTGCTGCTCTGCCAGGGCAGGCAGGCGGATTGGTTTTCACATATTTCAGCCCCCTGATGACGAAGTAAATCTATTCAGTTTAAGCTAGCTGCGGGTCTGAGCCACGACTCGTACTTTCAGCCTGCAGACATTACCAAAGCCATGTAAGAAAGTCGCTGATGTGGTCATTAAATCAGAAAACGGTTCTCCTTTGAGATCCTATTCCTTCTTGCCACAGTGGGTTGCACTCCGTGTTTGAGAGAGAAGTGTCATATATAAATAGTGTGAAGTGTGTGTCGCTGAAGGCTGGGGAGGCATCCCAAAAAAGGCTCAGGAAAGGGAAAACTGTTMTTAGTGCTTAACCTGGTCCCTGCCCCTCGCCTTGATGTAGGTGCCTGTCGGGGCATGAAAGGRCACAAAGGAATTGATTTCATCAAGGCTTGTTACCTGGAGGGCTTTTGAAGCGTGCTCTGCTGCTGCGAGAGCTGCGGGACCAGGCTGCGGGACCAGGTGTGATTCCCATTTGCTGGAATATGTGGCAAATATGCAAAGAGGCTCCCGGCTTTTTTTAGCCCACAAAAGCGGGGGGTCCTGTGAAAGGCCCCGCATTTGCCCAATCACCGCTTTTCCCCGCCGCTCGCCAGCATTGTAATTCCGTGGCAGTGTAAATCCCGGCGTGTGCCTCCCTCCCTCTTCCCTTGAGCCATCCTCTCCCTCCCCCTCTCCCGGCTGCCATCGGATCGGGGATGATATGTGATCTCCTGGATACAACCACGTCCACGCGAGTGCCGGGCACCGCCGCTCAGCCGAGCAAAATGTCCTTCTCCTAGACGTGGGGCTCATCACAGCTTGCAAATCCTTGACGATGTTGCCATGCTTTCCTCTCTGCCTTCTCTTTCCTCCTGCCTTTATCTGCCTGCTCTTCCTGCCCACGGGCCATTTCTGCCCTGCTGTCTGTAGCTGTATGGACTACCACACTATAGATTGCCGGGATCAAGGACTCCCCAGTGTTCCTAATCCATTTCCACTGGATGTGCGGAAACTTCTTATAGCTGATAACAACATTCAGGCAATACCAGCTGATTTCTTTATATTCTATGGAGATCTGGTCTATTTGGACTTCAGGAATAACTCCCTCACCTCCTTAGAAGAGGGCACTTTTAGCAGTTCTACCAAACTGGTGTATTTAGACTTAAGCTACAATAATCTAACACAGCTTGACGCTGGGATATTCAAATCAGCAGAAAAACTGATCAAACTGAGCCTTGGGAACAATAACCTGGCGGACGTGGATGAGGCTGCTTTTGAGAACCTGGAACAGCTCCAAGTGCTGGAATTGAATGACAATAACTTACAAAGCCTGAACGTGGCTGCCCTGGAAGCGCTGCCCTCCCTGCGGACGATACGCTTAGAGGGCAACCCCTGGGTCTGTGACTGTGACTTTGCCAATCTCTTCAGCTGGATACAGGAGAACGCGTCCAAGCTCCAGAAAGGTAAAGCTGAGCCAGGCTGCGTGTCTGTGTTCGTGTGTTTTGGCAAATAATCCGAGTGTGCTGCCTGCGGGGATGCAAACGGGGCTTTTGTCAAACAGTGGACATGCTTTAAAAGGACATTTTTGTCTGGTTTTTTAGCAGCRCTGTCCTCCTCCCAGTTAAGAAACAAAATATAAAAAATAATATAAAATATAAAAGATAAGCCCTAATGATTGTGATTTCTAGGCTAAATGTACATAGGTAGTAAAGAGAGATTTTTCGATTTCGATGAGCCCGGATCTGGATCTCTTCCAGATTTTGGGTTCTCTTTGGTAAATATATTTCCCACAATAAGCCCTTTGAAAAGCTGAATATTCTGTGCCAGGTCCCTTAAGGGGAACTGCCTTTTCTCTCAATTTAGCCATCTTCTGCAGAGCTGYATGGAAGAGTTAACTCCCCATCCCCTGTCTTATAAAAACGTAGCTGTCAGCCCTTTCCTAGAAGTGTTTCGTTGCGATAGCTTGCACTTGAAGCCTTTCCCCAAAGCTTATTTAAGGCTTTTATTTATTTTTTAATTGAAATAACACTGCTTCCCAAATGCAGGACAACTTATCCTGACATTCTCAGCAATTTTGGGATGAACTTTGAGGAAAAAGTATTAAACTGCCACGTTTAAGGAGTTCAGGCTTTCTCTCCATGCTTCCCAGTCGACCCTAAAGCCTGTCCTAACCCAGCTTTACCTGGACGTCGCCTCACAGTTCATGTAGCCCATAGCCACMCGGTTGCTAGCAGAAGGCCAAGTGCTTGGAGTCTATAAGGGATGCAGAATCACAACGAATCACCCAAGGTGAAATCCCTGGGCTCTGCCTGAGAAAGCCCTCCATGCAAAGGTGAGAACTGAAAAACCAGGCAAGAACTGCACGAGAGAACAGGCTGAGGTTAAGCAGCTGTGCGTTTCCTTGAGTTCAGGGGCAAAGGCAGAAAAACACAGTCCTGAAAGACATTTCAGATTTCTTTTTCCTGCTTTCTTCATCACCAGAGTGTGTAATCACTCATTTAAGCTCTTTCTATGCTCATCACCTTGGGTGGCGTTTTTTAATATACTAATCTAGGCTGCCCTAAATATTCTTAGCTGCAAAAAAGCACGCTGGTTTAGGAAAGAAGAAGACAGTAGAGATATTCTTTTCTCCTGACTGCCTCAGCTGCGCCCTTTGTCTCTTCCAAAACCAAGCCTGGACCTGGTCTCCTGCTTTCCCAGTACTTTAGCTAAAGTTTGTTCTTCGTCTGAACTAAGTATTTGCCCATTTCTCACACTGAGACATCCTTCAGTTAAGTGTCCCCATCTTTTCACACCAAATTCCCTTGACCTCTTCTTCTTCAACCTCTTGTTTCCTTGCTCTGCAAAGTTGCTGTAAGCAAAAACTCTGATCACATCCTCTTCCTTTTCTGACCCTTGACTCTGCCTTTCTTTCCATCGTTTTTAGTGAATTTGCATCTTCCCTTTGATTCAGAATCTGCTCAGACTGAAAGAGTCTGTTCCAGCCCATCTCTTTCTCTTGCCATGTCAATGTTTTTGACCTTATCCGAACTTAGGCATGGAAATCTCAAGTGGTTTAAGCTTTCTTGCACTATTGCCTCTATTCTTCAACGTCATGCAAGGTTAGAGATTTTCTTATAGCATTTTATCTCATCCAAAGTAATGAGATGATTTTTTTTTGTAGCCAAAGAGCTTAAAAGAAAAATCACCTGTCTATGTAGATCTTCCAAACATTCAGCTTGATTTGGTTTGGGCAGACAGAGAGCTAAGGTGCAAATAATTCAAGCTGGTTTCTTTTCTCAGAAGTTTTCCCCTCGCCATGGCCTGGTGCTTTGCATTTACTCCTGGGAGCAGCTTCACTAATTTCTTTRCAATTCATGCAATTTAGTGCATGCATGCAGAGCATTGTGCAAACTCAGCCTTTCTATTGTATGTTTTGAGCTACTGCCACAAAAACACTGTCTCCTATAATAAAATAGAAAAGCATTATTCAAGGAAGTGAGGGCAAAACTACCGCCCCAAAAGGAAAGTCTGTCTCAATGGCATTTGAAAGTGAACGGCTACAACTGAGGGCCTTTCAACTTTTGAAAAGTCGCTGTAAAATTAAATACTACCATTGCAATTTGGTGGCATTTTATACTTGCGTTTTGCAGGTTTTAAGTGATGTCAAAATGTTTAACCCACTGGGAAGTAATCACCTCTCTACTGGTTATGTTGGCCAAAGCAGCACTCGCTTGGCCTTTCTGATAGTGCAGCTTCCCTGGGGGGAAGGAAAGAGCAACTCGCTTGGATTCATCCTGCAGCCTCCTCGCAGCGCTGCTGCAAGCCGGCAGACACACAGGGCTTCTTCGCAGCAAGCACGTCAAGTTAAGTAGGGCAGCGAGCATTATGCCTGGAAACGCTGCAAAAGAGAAAGAYGGGGACATGTTTTCAGAGCCCAGGATAAAAGCTCCCTTGTCTTGGCTGCATACTTTGCTTTTATTGTGCATTGCGTGGCCTGTGCTAATGGAAAACGGCCGAGTGGAGAAGGGTTGGGGATGGTCTTCTCTTTATATTCTTTGAGAATAGGGTGTGATTAACAATGCAGAGTTGCTCCGTGGCAGCCTGAAGTTCCCCAGGCTCTAAATGGCAAATTTAATAACTTGGGTTTACTGAGGAGGGAAGGAATGTGGAGCGGGGACTGAAAGCGGTTTCATCAGGGAGCCCTGGGCTTATTTGAAAAGCACCTCAAGAACCTCAAGGTTTGGGACGCTGCCACGTGTCTTCTGCTCAAAATGGGCTTAAAAAGGAAGAGATGAGCCCAAGGAAGAAAGGAACACTCTGAAGAGCTGGTGGCTGCTCGTAAAGACAGAGGGAATGACCCAGAGCTCCAGTTTCCAAGTGCTTCGCTGCTGCAGTAGCCTTTCAAGATTCAAGAATAGTAGTAAGAAATAGAAAAATGACCTAAAGAAAAACATTGATAGATTTAGGCTTTAGGAATTAATTTTGGATCTTCGCCCCAAATGGCGCCTAAAAATAGCTTAAGGTGCCCTGCTTGCATACCTGAGGTGAGGCACTCAAGATAAAGTTATTTGCTAAATCCAGCTGTTGTTTCATGTTTTGATTTTAGTACAGCAGTAAGATGGTAGGTTTATCAAAATTGCCCCATTTTTTGAAAAATAACTCTTGTGCTGGCTTAAAAAGATGCTTTTGTCAATCTGAACTGAAATCTCAGTGTCTGATCCTGAAACTCTGTCTTTGCAGTCTGTGCCACAGTGATCTCTGCTCCATAGTCTATCCCATTGGTTTTGCAGCAGYGAGGTGCATTTTCTTTCTGGCCTGCTACCAAAAAAATAAAAACTTGCAAAATTATAACGTGCACTGATCTCTCCGACTAGCTGACTGTAAAGCCTCTTCCCAGCTGTGCTGCCTTTGCAAATCCAGCTCTGTCACCTCACACTGACAGCTGGGCTTTGAATCGCTTTACAGATCCCAGCATTTGTTCATCCTACCTAAATTTCAAAATAAAGCAGTAATTGGTACTACGTGAATAGTTTTTCAAGCTGCCCCCCGTGCAGGCAGATTTACTAAAGATCTGCACTGAAAGTTTTGGGGTTAAATTCAACACTTGACCTGCTTGGAAGAAGCAGATGTATTTTTACACGCGTAGAAAGATATTAAAAACAGGTTTTGTCGTTCTCCGGAACAATACTACAATTTTACCATCTGATTTGGTTATTAATGAATTGAAAATTAATTCATATAATGCAATAATGTAGTCAAAAATGAACAGTTAGTGAAGTGGAATGGCAGTAAGTGGAGAATCCATCACAGAGTCTATTTTCTAGAGAAAACACAGAAGACGTTCACTCTGGGTGAGAAACAGCCATATATCCTCTAAAGACTTTCTCTATAGCGGTGAATTTGATTTTATAGGGTATTTGGTAAGCCTGAATGACAGCATGGTGACTGATGGCATGTACCAAAGGCTTTCCRTTGGGAAAAGCATGGTGTTTTTATATGGTGATGCTGGATCAATTTTTGGAACCAGAAAGTTGTTGCAAAAACTCTGGATCTTCAGAAAAGACAGCTGCCTTTCACGGCAGGTTTTACTGCAGGAGGGAATGTGCTAAATCACAGAAAGAAATTGAAATGACCAAGGTCTAGACTGGTCTTGAACATACTTGGGAATGAAGGAAATCGAGATGTATATGATGAATTTCTTGCCTCTATTTGCATATATTTGCTCCATAGGATCCTTTGTTTTTTACCAAAAGTGATTGATAAGGGTGAAGTTTTTTAAAGCGTGAATTGAGGAAAGCAGAGAAGGAGGAAACCAGTTTGTTTGCACTCCTCTGACAGAAGTAGTTTTGAAAAATGCAACTAAAAGTAAGATGTACTGAATAAAGGGGAGGATTATTACAGGTTGAAAAACACCAAAATWGTGTTTTTCACAATTTTAAAATTGTGTAAAACACTAATTGTGTTTTGGATATGATGTGTTGAAATTTTGATTTTGATGAAATTAAAGGGAATTTCTTGTTTTCACGACCAGGAACCACTTCAAGATTTCTTGCCTTTTCTGCTTAATGGGGTTATGAAGCCTATAAAAATACATTCAGCAGTTTCTACTATAGGGAACAACTTTTTCCTGTTTTCAGGGCTTGTGTTAGATCTTAGGTTTTATCTCAGCTGAAAATGTACTTTGCCATCCTTGCTTCACCACTTACCATAACTTTTGCACTAATGCTATCTGAAGCTTCAGGCTTATCTGGCCAAAAGTTGTTCCCCATGCAACAGTTTTTTCTAGCTCTGCCGTCTTTTATAATGCCGTTCTAGACCCAGATACTCTAAATACATTCATTCTGTAACTAAAATATAACATTTTGCTTCGGTAGCGCAGGCCCTCACCATAGCCCCTGTGCTCTCCCTGAAAAAGGTGAACATCAGCTTCCAAAACCCATCATAACTACACGAGAGTACAAGTTTAATTTGCCCTTCTAACTCAATTGGAAGTCAGTGGAACAGCTGACGTTTTGTAGGGCCTCAGGTCTTAATTTTTTTTCTCTGTACCTTTCTACTCATCTGCTGTGTGGAGAAGCCTGCCTTAATTTCATGTGCTAATTTAGAAGTGGAGCAAGCTGCAGCTARCAAGGACAGGCTGTTCTGTCCATTGCAGCCGTTCAGCTCTTCCTTGAGCATCCTGCACATGCTACCACATCACCAGTACAGAACATAATATCCAGTTTTCAGAAAGGAATTAAAAGCTCGGAAACATCTCACACATTCAGCAGCTCTTACTCTGTTCAAACAGAAATTCCTAAGAGAAATCCGATTCCCCCAACAAGCTCATCAAATTTATTTCTATATATATGCCTATGTAAATATATAATGGGTTGTCCTGCTTATTTTCAGTAAAATGATTTGATTGCCACTGGCTTTTCATTCCGTTCCTTCTGTCTTAAGGTTTTTTGGAATACTTTCCTCTTTCACATATTTGCAGATGTGAAAGCAGAATTTGCAGGTGTGGGCATCTGATGTTAAGCCTTAACTTATGTTTCGATGTTGAGACAAACTGCCAAACACTTTTTCATGTTAATCTGTGAAATTCTGAGGTGCTTGGCTGTTAAAGAGTTGATTTAGGGGTCTAAGGCTCCAGTTTGGTGGGGTTTTGTTTTGGTTTTTAGTCATGTTTTTCTGATACCCTGAGGCAGATTCTGATGAAATTTTATCTCTCTTCAAAGCCAGTGCCTCCCTTACTGCTTATTAATACATCTAAAACATTAGTGACAGCGTTTAAGTAGACTGAAGAGAACTATAGCTGGAGGCCAAATACCATACAAGAAATAAAACATCACATTTAAACATTTCAAGCCTCTGTAAACTATGYGACACGAGAGAGCAGCTAAAGGGGGCAAATATCAGTTTTACTTTTCCCAGAAAAGTGGAAATAGCATATTAGAGTCCTTCCACAGTTTTCGTATAGACATAATGACCACACATATATTTAATCCACTTGTTTTCTACTCTCAGACAACCCATAAACACTTTATTTTTCAAGATGTATTTCTGATACATTCCAGTGTATATATTCAGGGCCATTTGCTTTATCTCACATCATTAGATATCATTGGATGCTAAAAAACTATTACTGATACAGCTAATATCTGTATTTTTTAAAAGTCAGTGTGTAAAACAGAGATTACCCAGCTATAGAGACTCCACAAAGAGAGCCTCCATTGAAGGTTTTCTTGCTGCAGCCAAAATTTAAATATCAAGCTCCTTGACCCCCCTTTTACAGKAAGCCTGTTGGATTTTTTTTAAGATATAAATTGAATTTTACAGAAAAAAAAAAAAACCCTAAAATATTGCAGTAATCATTGCCACTGAGGGAGCCAARGCATGTGCAAGTAGGGCAATAAAGTTAAGTGGCATTATCTTATCCTCCAGACATCCTGTGTATGGGGACAGGTGATTTGCCTGAGCCTCTGTATGTGATGGAATCACCCAGAGGAAAAATATTATAATTAATACTCATCACTTTATGTAGGCCACTCTGTTCGTGCAGAAGGTGCAGGGTGACCTGGGATTACCTTTTGCCAAAGTAAAGAACAGGACTGGGTTTAATTCTCCAGGCATCTCTGGGTGTGCAGTAGGGCAGCTGGAATCCACAAGATTGGATCTCTACATGTGCTGGAGTCTGATTTCAGTGCGATAAAGCAACCTACCTAAAATAATGTGAAGAATATAGGGTTGCCATGGAAGAAAGCAGACAAAACAACATTGTTCAGGTAGCATTTTGAACAGATATGCATATGAAGTGAATGCATGCCAGAGTGTTTACAGGTAAGCAATATGGATATGTTGCAAAACCTGCATTAGCTCCGGGAGGAAAAACTCCCTAGCGGAACCAGGAACAGCTGCTAGTCCTGCTGCTGTTACAAATCAGGAGTCTGCTCCAAATTTCTAGAGTCGAAAGGAGGAACTCCTTTTGAGTCCATTGGCTTTTGCAGCAGTGTCGTGGTGCAGTAAAATAGAGTATTAAATGTTCTGTCCCCTTCAGGCGCTGACTTGTCCCCCCATCCAGCTCCACGCTCACCTGGGCTGTTTGTGCCTGCCTGGCCTGCGTGGAAGAGATCAGCTCATCCCAACTCACTGAGGAGCTGGTGCACGCACAGGATGGGTTTAAGGCCCCTCTGCTGCTTTGTGACTCTGTATTTTGCCCATTGGCATCTATTATTTTCAGTGCTCTACTATTTTCAGCAAGAACTCTGCAGAAACTTGAGGCTAAACTAGCACATTGGAGCGTCGGAGAGTAAAGCAAGCAGAAAAATCTAATCCCTTTGGTTTGAGAGCATGACCTGGATTCTAATACCCACGGGTAGAGCAAAGAGCTTTTTGATTCTCSTTATTTTATAATCAGACTCATGATCGTTACAGCACACTGACTCTCATTGCAAAAGGTATCTCTGTGTGACTGGGTGCAGCGGCGCTTCCCTCGGGATCGGGCGCCCGGTGACGGTCGCTGAAAGCAACAGAGAGCAGAGCCTGAAGGGCCAATTTTGACCCATGGTAAGAGGGTGATTGGTAATGGGTTTCTCTCGAGAAACCTGGGCAGAAACTACCATACCAGGTTATTTCCAGAGATAGATTATGCAGTAAGTAAAACTGCTTAGAACCATTTCCTTCTGGAGTCTTAATTTTCTGTCTCTGTCTCATACATTTTTCTTTCTTTTTCCTTCCCTATTGTCTGAAAACTACAATATATTAGCTTAGATAAGTGAACAAAGACTCATCAAGGCTGCTGAGTGCCGCTCGGCAGAGATCATTTGAGAAGTTCACCTGCCAGGCAGGGAGAACTGCTGCAACTGGCCAGAAATAGAAGAAGGGGAGTGCTTTGCAGTGGCCTGCCTGCCATCTCTTTGGGCACGTGATGAGGATGGCACAGCTGCAGGGAAAAGAGCAGGCAACAGTTATTCTAGTAGGTTTTTTACTGTAGAAACAAAGTTATATAGAACTTTTTTGCCATGTATTAACTACAATAGAAATGGATTTTTTTTTTTTACATGCCCTATTCCCTTGGACCAGACCAGTTTGGCCACAAAATCTTTACAAAACCCTGTGTCCCAGACCCCATATACATGCATGCTACAAATCCCAGACTCCTGAATATCTCCAAGGACATTTAAAACCCTGCRTGCCCTTTGTCTCCCTGGCTAGGCCATGGGCATGGGGTTGCAGAGGTTGCCCTGCCACCTGGTGCACCACGCTCCAGGCTTAGAGGAAAAACTAGAGCGTGTGTTTAGGCTGCAATTSAGGCTGCGTTCAGGTGACAGGTTGCCGAGAGGAAGCCGTTCAGCCTTGGGCACGCAGCCTGTGGTGCTGTTTGCTGGCAGCTCCTGTGATGCTGGRGGTGACAGGAACATGAAGAACAAGGGACGAGCAGAGCTTTGGACAAATAAGGCAGCTATTGGAGGGGTTGCAGGGATCAAAATGCTGTGTGATCGTCGTTTCAGGGTCAAATAAGCCAGAGTGATGAATGAGGCCCCAGCAGGCTTGGCTGAGCCCTCTCTCAAGCTAAAGCTCCCTCTCAAGTCAGCATAATACCTGAGCCGGAGGAAACCGTTCTCATGTACTAAACCGGTACTAAAACCACTCGTGCTCTAGCTATTCAGCCACAAGGTAAGAGGGGTTTGCAAAAGCAGCAAGGAACCTCATCACTGGTGCCCCTTGCACRGAGCGATGCGGAGCAGAGCAGGGACACGAGTGCCCTGTGCGCGTGGGAACGCCGCTCCGAACCCGGCGCCCTTCCTCTCGGGAATGCACAAAGGGAACTGCGGATCAAATACACCAGCAGCAGGACATCAATACTCGATTCTCGTATTTCCCTTTTACATTCATATCCTCGGGAGCAAGATAAAAGCTGTCTTTCCATCAGCTCTACAGAGGTAATTCATTATTTGCTCCATGCAAGCCTCACTAATAAAATTTACTTTTTTTTTCCATTGGTGTGCATGGAAGAGTGGGGCCGTGCAGTGAATTATCTGCCTTTATGGACCAATTCCAAACTGTAATCTCACTAGTTTTTAAACTTGGACTTACTTGCTTTCKCCCTAAAGAACTCGGCTCCTTCAATAATGCATGGAGAAATAATATCAGCCAGTCAGCTTATCTTATAACACAGAGAGAAAAGGTGCAAGCAGATCAGAGTTAAGCGAGTACCCATCAAACTTAACCCGTGGCTTGGATCAAAATAAGAACTCTGGCTTTGCACCTACGAAAAGACAGTATAGAAAGTGTGAAGATGCAGAAGATCAGTATCAAGGAGAGTAACACCAGGCCAAACCAGAGGCCTTTTGGGGGATATATATGTAACACCTCTTGGAATATGTCAGATTTTGTTCAATTATTTCCCAAACTGCATACAAATTCATGAATCTAGAGATAATCCTTTTGTTCGTACTGTTTTCTTCAGCCAGCTGGTCTCTGTCCTGAGCAGCAGAAGGACTCATTAGTATTCCTGATTTTTCCCTCTCCTCCTTTTTTTGCAGGTCTCCATGAAATCCAGTGTTCCCTGCCTGTGGAAAATAGAAGAATCTTTCTGAATGAATTATCTGAGGTCAGCTTTAGTGAATGCAAATTTAGTTTGTCATTGACGGACCTTTTTATCATCATCTTCTCTGGAGTCGCAGTCTCCATTGCTGCTATTCTATCAAGCTTCTTCCTAGCAACTCTAGTACACTGCTTCCAAAGATGTGCTCCCAGTAAAGATGACGATGATGATGAAGATGACAGCGAGGACTGAACTTAGTCTAAACATTTAAGCTCTGTTTGRTTTATAAGTGACTAGATGAATAGCCAAATTTTAGGAAGAAAAGAGAGTAAAAGCTTTAAATGTGAATTAAATGAAATCAACATATAAGTTCGAATCTAAGCTCAGGAAGGTCGTAGGTAGCAAATACATTTTGCATCTGAGACTTTTATAGTTCTGCTTACCTGTAACCTGGTGCAATGAGATGGATTGATTGCTGTAATGCTTAATCAAATACTTCATTAAACTTGGGTTTGGAGAAAAAAGGGGAAATGTCAAAAATTAGTTCCAGTGTTTTGCAAGAATGATAGTTTCCAGGTTGTCTTCTGATCAGTTGCAGATTCTCATAAATGCTCAACAGATGATTGCAAATGCACTTTGAAAAGTGCTGACTATATACGGCTGTTTCAGATGGAAATATGAAAATAATTTTAAATAGTCTCCTAGGGAAAAATAGTATTCTAGTAAATTCTAGTCAACTCAGTCAACTCTCAGAATAACAGTTATGTTAAAATGATTTCTAGAATTGTAGAAAGCGTTTTAGGAAGATTGGCATTTTCTCGCTACAAATGTTTTCTGCACRCATTCATCCTCAATTTAAAGATAATTACAGGCATCATTCAGACAAAAAAAAAAGTAGTTTCTATAAATGAACACTGCTCTAGATCTGATTCATCAACTGCAGGACTGCAGCTGCCTGATGCCTCTTCCATGGTCACGGCACAAGTGCTAACTATAAYGTTCTTTTGCATTTTAAATGCAACGTAGTAAAGGAAATCCTTTCTGTGGTATTCTTGGGCATAAGTATCTATTGCAAAATCCAGTCCATTTAGTCATTTTAAAACACTAAGGGCTATATTCTGTTCCTGGTTATACCAGAGTAATGAACCTGAGATGRATGCCATGCTCCAGATTGTCAACTGTATAAACAAGAGTGGAATCTGGCCCTAAGATATTCTGACTGTATTATAGATTTGTCAACACTTGAGCTCTTCTATATAATGGTAGTTATTTTGTTAAAATGAAAAAGACATTTACTACAAGAGATTTTTGGAATAGTGCTGGAAAGCTTTTTAGGATAAGTATATTTTTAAAACATTTGTAATGGAAATATTTTTTTAAACTGCTGAGTATTTAAAATATTATCTAAAATAGCCACGAGGGCTTAAAGTAATATATCATGTACTAATGAACAATCCAAGGACTATAAGCTATTATAGTGAAATTAGATCTGATAAAAAGTGGCGTTTATTATCTACTGTCAATGCTATTATTTCTTTAAAAATACTCTTTGGTTATAACGTTGCCTTTCCCAGTTAATATGAATGAGTTTTTGTGGATAATCAGTTCCAAATCTCTTGTGTCTATACCGAATGGTAATTGTTCAGGCAGCCGGGCATGGATTACTTTGTGCAGTAAGGGGTATACGGTGCCATGCATAGGGTACGAGATTAGGATCAGAACATGTGGGTTTTGTCCCTCTCTAACAGTGAACAACTAGATGACCTCCAGCAAACCACTTTGTCCGTGCCTCAGTTTCCCTACCTATAAAAGGAAGATCATAATGACACTTTAAGTGCTTTGAGATATGCAGCAGGGAGTGCGCTATAGTGGTCTATGTGCAATTATATACSTTAGGCTGCAGCAGAAGATAAACAGTGGGCCTAATTCTAGTCTTACATCAGTCTTATCGGCATCATGCTGAGGTCAAARGCAGGACCAGAGTACATACTTCGGTGGTAGCTGTACAGTTTATTCAACTTGACTCGATATTGCTATCCTAAGATGATTATTTTTGAAAACACTTTGAAACAAAATTAAATGGGACAGCAAAAGGATATGCTATATCAATACTATCTTATGCTATTCTTACTCTTTCAAGAAAAAAAATGAAATGATGTGATTTTCACTGTGTAGTGCCATGATTATAAATAACACAAATATATTTATAATTACAACATAGGCGTTCATGTTTGTTTGTATGTGGATATGAAAAAAAGAAAAAAAAAGAAGTTGTGCCTGTTTCTCTGATCATTTGAAGGTTTTTGCAGTGTGGCTAGAAATACACAACTTGGTTGCTGCTCTGTGCAGTTCATGCAGTATGCTCCCTCTGCAACAAATATGGATATGTGATCAATAGCTTCATATTTAGAGATGTGCAAATTGTTCAGTCATGGAACAAGAAACTGGGTCCCAGTTTTTTTGCCTGCAAGGTTTGTCATGGCTTCAAAACTTGTGTCCGTTTAGCCAAATGATTTGTCCTACCAAACTTCAGTGCATGTTTCAGCATTGCAACAGCAAATGAGACAGAACTTGGATATAGTTTTTAGGGGGATTTTTTTATCCTGTATAATCTTGGAAGTAAATTATTGCCCTCTTAGAATGTTGCCCAACTAGTGACCACCGTGACGATGCCCTCCAAGGCTTTAAAAGCAAATTCCATCATGAGTAGAGCTGATGGAAAAGCAGCATTAAAGCTGTGCTGCTTTTGCAGCTTTCCCTCCATAAAGGTAAAGCCCCATGGTAGCGTGGGGCTAAGCCAGCTCCACCTGCTAGCTTTCCAAAAACATAGAAAGTCTTYTCATGAGAGGATGCTTCTGTGGACACGCACTCTCTCCTCAGGCTGCACTTAACCCCATTAGCAATAGTGAATTTACAGTAGTGCCAAGTGTAAGAGTGGAATTTAGCCTCCTGTACAACACATAGTTGGCCTGAGAAACCTGTAGGTTCTTCTAAATGTGCAGTTGCAAATTTGTCCCCATTTACAATTTCCCTCCTAAAATGGCATTATATTGCAGTTTTAGCTTACACTGCCACCAGGAAAGGAGCAGACATTTTACCTGCTTCAAGGGGAAGAAAAGACACTGTGCATGACCCAGAAAAAATGTGGCAGGCTCAAAGAGCCAGCAAGCAGCTGTTAAATTGCCTGCAGATATGTTTCCTTGATGAAATGCTGGATCTTGGTATGTGTGAGGATCCAAAAAATGTGCAAGAAAGCAAATCTGCATAATATAATTGAGATAGAGCCTGTGAGTTTTTAGAAGCATGCACACTGGTTTACAAAAATGCCCAATCCACATAATATCAAGGATCACCTGAAGCAATCGCCCAGACCTCGTGTTTCATCCTCAGTCAGCCAACATCTTTTTGAGATCCCTTCACTCYGGCTGTGATTCTCGCTCAGTTGTGAACATGAACGGGTCAGTTTTTGGAGCAGCATGAAGAGACTTTCAGGAAGAACCTTGAAGGGATGTTTTGAAGGGATGAGCTCATAAATAGGAGTATACCTCTTGCCTTCCTCAGACATATGGTACAAGGCAAGCCACTGTACGCCGACAGCTGAAATGTGCCCTGCCATGCTTAGTCCTAACCAAAAATGGTCTCCTCTTTAGTCTGGAATCATCCCTATGTGTGGTAGGGTTGCATACGCTTGTGCAGTAAGGAGAAGAGTTTGTGTATAACGATACTAGAGCTTGCTGTAACTATTACCATTGTAGACAGCAGCAGTGGAGCAGCTGGAGCCTGATGGGGATGCTGAGCCTGGGACAGCCCTTCATCCCTAGCGGAGGTGCCTCTGTGCTGCCTTTCCAACCATGGGAGCAACTCTGGGCAGGACTTTTTCCTGATTCGGCAGGTGCTGCCTCCCTCCTACGTGAGTAAATGWATTTAGTTTCCAGGGCTGATAGCATTTTTCACTTACATACCCATGTCCCCCAAACTAAAGGCGCAGGTTTGGGGAGATTTTCTGAATCTGACCGTTCTTCTCAAGGGTGTAATTGAACCATGTTTTGATTTGTGGCATAACCTATTTTTGCCGATCCTCTAGTGGCAACTGAGACACTTTGCCGTGGAGGTAAGTCACTGTCGTGCATTATGGTGRATCAGATGTTAAAATGTTGAATGTTCATGTACAGTTTCCAGAAAGAAATGAGAAATATACTTTAGGAAATTAATTTTTTTTTGGAGAGAAAGATCTGCCATGGACTGTGAGTGCCAAGCAGCCTGTAATATTCATAAGCCAACAGAAGCATTTCTTTCCTTTCCCATCTGTTAACAGGAGTGCCAAGCAACTTGGTCAAAATGCAGCATTTAATCCATTGCCTTCCTTAGAACAGGATCAGTGCTACACTGCTATTTCCAACATTTAAAGAAGCATTTAAAGAGGAAGAAAACTGAGTATTATGTGATCTGGGCTCTGTTTAAAATTCATGTGTAGGCTGGATAAGTGCAAAGCATTGTTTACTTGTTTATTTAATCATTCTCTAGTGTTAGAACATTTAATACCCATGCCCACAGTGCAAAAGCCTCTGTGGAGAAAGCGTTCACGTCAGCAACTCCCTTCTTAGACTGAATTCAATACTCTGCAACCATTCTGACTGGAGTGATGAGAGACTCCTTGTCAACATGGAATAGAGCTAAGTATTCCAGGTGACCCAGCAAGGTTGCTGGAAGCGCTGCAGCTCGTTGGCTGCAGGATTTGCACAGATCTGTCTTTCTATAAAATTATTTAGCGTTGTAATTGTATTCCTACTTTGATCTTGCCTGCTTCTTCCCGTACTATCTTGATTTCTGTACCTTGGTATCTTGACAGCGTCTAGAACAACAGAATCCCAGCCTGGTACCATCTCTGTGTGGTACAGTAATATGAATCACCAACAGCTGGAACTCGTTAGCAGCCTGAGAAAAGCATAGTTTTGCTTATACTGACCCAAGTGGAGATAGGAAAAACCCACTGGACTCTAAGCTGGCATGGGGAGCAACAGGAGACATCTCCTGTTCAAAGCAGAATGCCCAAATTACGACAAGTCTCTCGGGTTCTGGTGCACCAGGTCTCACACCCCACCAGCAGCTCCAGAAGGTCATGAGGAACTGTGCAACACGAGGTGAGCAGCACATCATGTGCTTTTTTTTTTTGCTGTTTTGAGTTGTCAAAACACATGTGAGTAAACACTTCAGAGCAGCTTTTTAGCTGTATTGTGGAAAGTGAAAAGTTTGGAGGAAAGTGAGCAGCAAAGACGGAGTGAAGCAGGCAGCTTGGGCCAGTTACGCWGTAGAGTTAGCCTCAAAATAGAGTTATTTGGATTACAGAACCACTTTCTGTCTAGTTTCTGTTATCTTGATATTACTATGTTGATGTTAAAGCAGAAATCTTGGCAGTGAAGTGTGGAATATTGGCAATATAGTATTAGTTACAGATTTAGAGYACAAGTGTCCTAAGTAGTAACCCTAAAATGCCTCCCTGTCAATACAGACTCACTACCCATGGCCCTTTGTTCAATGTCATTCAGTTSCTTCATGATTATATTCATATTTATTTTAATATGGCCTGTATCTTCAAAAGATGGAACCAAAAACTGTTGCTCTATACATGAATTCACTGTTTCCTTCATATGGCAAGTTCTAAATGTCATTTTACTTACTGACTGCAGAGGAGAGTTTGCCTGGGAAAAGGGACAGGAAAGTGCTATATAAAGTGTATATTTGAGAAATACTTTATTAAGTTGAGGCTGGAATTTCTTGAAGTCCAATTACAAGGTACATTTCCAAGACTGGTATAATACTGAAGTGAGTCCACAATGCATATCGTCCACAACGTCAAAAAAAGATTCTTTAAAACCAAATTGGAAGAGTGAGCTGCTTTAGTGCTTATCCGATTTGGAGTGGCTTTTTTTAACAACCAAATTAAAATATCCCCTGCAGTGTGGGATTTTAAATCAAAGCAGAAAGGATCTTAACTCTAAAATCACAAACATTACACTCCATGACAAGAAAATGAGTACAAACTTAGTATTATTCCTTCAGGGAACAGAAGTCGTTAGACTGAGGAGTTTTTATTGTTTTCAGAAGAAAATGCTTCCTGCAAGATTATTCCTTCAGAATTGCCGGATAGGATCTGAATTACTCAGCACTGAATAGTGGGGTATTTGTGAGACTGTGTATAATTGCAGCGGAGGAAGTAGTTGCTTTCTGTTGAACSTGGACTAAGCTTCGAGAAAAATATTTTTAGATGTACACTGATCTCAATTTTGATTTCACTATTGAATTATGTGCGATCCGGTCCTTATATATTGGCTGGGCTCCATTCTCTTTGGTATATGATTACCCAAAGGGGTTACAGCCCAGAAAATGGAAACCCTCCAGCTTCTTGTGGGTCTGATATTTTCTATAAACTTTCCATTCCCAGCGGTGCTCTGTGTGAACATCAGTAACTTGAGTTTTTGCTTCTCTATTGGAGGGTAATTGCTGATTTTACACAGGATTAGAGGCAGAATTATTTACRGGCTGCATGTTTTCTGAGCCCATGTGGCTCTTTCAGATTCTTTTTGAATTTAGCACCTTGCTTTCAAGTCTGAGAGGGGAGAAYCTGGTCCTGCTCACTAAGGCGTGCTGCAGTCGTGTGCATTTGTGGCCATTCCAAGTTCATTATCCCCATCTGATAATCACTGTACATCTATGTCCCAGTTTGATGATGGATTTATAATGAGCGTCTTTAACCTCAGCCCAGTCCAGCCATCTGCTCTGTGAAGCAAACTGGCACTTGAAGACCATTTTTTGCTTCAAGGTGTCTCCTTCTAGGCTTATAGAACAAACAGTGAGTCATCTCCTCCCACCAGAATCGGGCAGAATTGTAACCTGCTCCAGTGCGGATGCCTGCTGGGGAAACCAGSTTGCACAGACTACCCCAGCCAAATGCCATAACTACCTTGGCACAGGAGAAATAAAGCCTTGCCAGAGTTAGTAGTATAGACATATATATTTATTGTCCATAGGGGCAG